ATAGTAAAGCCCAGCACTCAGTGAGTCCACCGTTGATGCTAGTTCTTAGTAAGACTAAGGACTGATTTTTAAGTCCCAGGGAGAGCCCAGGGACATTTCAACTACTGGTCCATCTGCCCCGTGCACTCAGCATGTATCTAGTGAGCATCTCCTATGGGCCAGGTGTTGCTCCAGGTGCTGGGGCTGCAGTGGCGGACGGGTCGGTCCTTGCCTCCTTGGAGCTGATGTCCTAGTTAGAGGAGACGTCAAAGGGTAATCTGATAAAGTCAGGACAGAGGCAATGGATAAAGGAAAAGGCAGGGCACAGGCTAAAGAATAGAAGGTGATGAGGGCAGGCCTCAAGGAGGTGGCGTCTGAGCTGGGGCCTGAGTGAGAAGTGTGACTAAGCCAAAAAGATCTAATTGAGTTCGGTTGCCCTTTGCATCAAGAGCCAATGAGAAACAAAAAAATAATGCTGGGAAGGATGTTATTTACGGCTCGGAGAAGGGATCAGCAGAGTAGCAGTCAGCCCGCCTCTCCAACTGACTGAAGTTTGGGGTTTGGCTTTTTTTGTGTTTGTTTTGGGTGGCCGGCCAGCACAGGGATCCGAACCCTAGACCTTGGTGTTCACGTAACACCACTCTAACCAACAGAGCTAACTAGCCAGTCCCAAGTTTAGGGTTCTTAAAGGGAAAAAAGGAATGCAGGTACATGTAGGGGGTAGTGAAGTGGGGGATCACAGGGTCTGCAGGTGGCTTGAATCAGAGGTCAGGATTTCATGATAAGCAGGGTTCCCTGACATCATGGGGTCTGTGGTCAGTGCTCTGGTGAGCCTCAAGTCCTTGATGTTATCTCGGAGCTGGAAAACTCAAAGACAATGAGCCAAGAATCACTGGAACTTTAAAGTACCTGACTCAGACTCTTGGCTAATGTGCATGTCTAACACAGTCTTTTCTAAGCAAGAGTATAGGTTAATAATCAGCTTGGCCTTTCTTTGGAATGCCTTTGTTCAAGAAGGTTGATTAGGAAAACAGGAGAAGAGAAGGGAGGCTCGGCTTTTGCTCTTAACCCTTACGTTTATAGAGGCTGCGTATAAGAACAAAGAAAAACTTTTTTTTTTTATTTTTAAAGATGACCGGTAAGGGGATCTCAACCCTTGACTTGGTGTTGTCAGCACCACGCTCAGCCACTGAGTGAACCGGCCATCCCTATATAGGATCCGAACCCACGGCCTTGATGTTACCAGCACCACACTCTCCCGAGTGAGCCACGGGCTGGCCCAAGAAAAACTTTTTAAAGATACTCTTATGGGGGCCCAGCTTCAGAAGCAGCTGGCTGCATGGAGATGGGGGAGGGTTCTCCTGGCCAGAGGTTGGAATTGCAACCCTCTGAAGCAGGAAATAGCAAGAAAGCCACTCAGATGGGGCCATTTGATCTGGGGGGAGGGGACAGGGATGGTGAGAGATGGGGCCTGAGCAGCAAGCAAGAGCCAGCCCTCCATGAAGGGTTGAGGCACCAGGGTTCTTCCCAGTTTACAGATGAGGAGACAGATTCCAAAAAAAGGAAGGGCTTGCCCAAGGTGACCAGGCTGGAAGGCACTGCTGGGAGTTTCACCTGGCTGGTGTCTGGCCCAGAGCCCCCACTCCCATGGCCCAGCCTGGTCCCTCCTGTCCCCCTCCCCAGGATGTCATCCAAGTCTCTAAGAAGTTCCTGCCAGGGATGGCCGTTGGCTACTCTAGCCCAAAGCTGACCCTACACGTGGGTGACGGTTTTGAGTTCATGAAACAGAACCAGGATGCCTTCGACGTTATCATCACTGACTCCTCAGACCCCATGGGTAAGCACAGGATGGGCCCCTGGGCACTCTCAGCTGCCAGTCTGGAGGCAGCCTCATGCTAGAGGACAGGGACCTCCCAGAACCAGAGCTGGACTTCTCCCTTCTCAGTTTTCATCTCCCCCTCCTAACATGGCTCAGGACAGTAGTGGGGGACAGGTCCAAAGTTCACAAGTTAGGGAGCTGAGGAGAGTGCGGGTATGGCCTGGGCCCACCGAGGCCCCAGTTTCCTCTTAACGTCCCCTCTGCTCTTGACTGGCCATCACTGGTGTGGGGGTGGGTTCTAGGCTTGGACCATGGCCTAGGGTGGCAGTTCCTCTGCTGATGAGAATCGCCCAGGACTGAGATTAAAATGTGGTGTCTCCTCAGGTGCGGCAGTGGATCCCTGCACCTATGGTTGGTTTCTGAATTCCACAGACCTGGCTTCAAATCCTGGCTCTGCCACTGGGCAGTTGTGGGTCTGTGGGGGATGACGGTGGCCGTTGAGGTCTCAACCAAGGTGTGTTCTTTGTCCCTTGCCCTCCTTGCTGTAGGCCCTGCTGAGAGCCTCTTCAAGGAATCTTATTACCAGCTCATGAAGACGGCCCTCAAGGAGGATGGCATTCTCTGCTGCCAGGGTGAGCCTGGCCTTGAGCAGCGGGGTGGGGTGGGCTGGGCAGTGCCCGATGCTGATGCCACGTGGCCTCTCCCCTAGGCGAGTGCCAGTGGCTGCACCTGGACCTCATCAAGGAGATGCGGCAGTTCTGCAAATCCCTCTTCCCCGTGGTGGACTATGCCTACTGCACCATCCCCACCTACCCCAGCGGCCAGATCGGCTTCATGCTCTGCAGCAAAAACCCCGTGAGCCTAGGGACCGCCGAGGGGGGGAGGTGGGCATGGAGAGCCCCCCCTGATGCCCCCTCCTCCTCCTCCTCCCCAGAGCACCCACTTCCGGGAGCCCGTGCGGCAGCTGGCACAGAAGCAGGTAGAGCAGATGCATCTGCGATACTACAACTCGGACGTGCACCGCGCCGCCTTCGTGCTGCCCGAGTTCGCGCGCAGGGTGAGCGCCCAACCAGCAGCCTTGGCCCACCCCCAGGATGGCCCAGCCCCCGGTACCCAGGCCACCCTCCTGACTGGTTCTATGTCCCACAGGCCCTGAATGATGTGAGCTGAGTCCAGGTGCCGCTGCCGACACCACCCAGGACCTCGGGCCAAAGAGCCTCCGGCGTGCCTGGGCCCCACCAGCCCCGGACCAGTCATATGAGATATGTGTGATGGCAGTCTCACCTCTGGTTACTTCCTCAGCTGCTTGTAATTCCTGCACCCAAGAATGACCCTTGTCTGCCTTGGTGTGCATCTTTGGGAGGAGTCAACATGGAGTGGTGAGAGAGGAAGGGGCCCTGTTAATACTTCCCATGTCGGCTTGGTCAGTTGTGGTGCATGGGGTGAGCATCATTTGCGCACTGTACCCACGCTCAGCTGGGGCCTCCCATGGGCTGCAGGGAAGGCTGGGGTGGGGTCTCAGCTCCCGCATGTCTCCCAGCCTTGCATCTTATCCAGAGTGAGAGCAGTTCCACACTTTTATCTGTTTACCTATTGGGTTTCCACATAGGAGTGTGTTTAGAGCAGGGCGACTAAGCTCAGTATGCACCATTGTTGTCTATAAGCGGGTGGTGTTCACACTCCCATTAACACTGATGCTGATATGCACTACACAAAAATCAGATGGAGGGAGACACACATAATCAAGTGTCACGTTTCAGTGGACCTTGTCCTGTTTTCTCTGGGGACTTGTGTACATTTACCATATTTTCATGTCTGGATCACTCTCTGTGTTTGCTACAATGAAGATCTTGATTTGTCCAGTTTTGTTCCTTTGATAGTTCATTACATTCTCCTATTTCCTTTGAGGGCAAACTTATCTCCAATATTCCTGCTCTCACCATGTGTTCTTTTTTTGATACCCGATATCTATAAGTAGCATTTTGAGATATCAATAGGTGTATGACAGGATGTCAGTGTTATTGGCAAATTCTAGTTAGTAATTTTTTTTTTTTAAAAGATGACCAGTAAGGGGATCTTAACCCTTGACTTGGTGTTGTCAGCACCACGCTCTCCCAAGTAAGCGAACCAGCCATCCCTATATAGGGATCTGAACCCGAGGCCTTGGTGTTATCAGCACCGCACTCTCCTGAGTGAGCCACGGGGCAGCCCTCTAGTTAGTAATTTGTGATTCTGTATGAAGGGAAAAAAATTTCTTATAAATATTTTCATTTGCTTTTTTAAAGCCTATTTTATATGACTGTTTTATATGAAGGTACTTCAAAAAATTCATGGAAAGATTCAAATTTTTTTTTTTTTTTGGCGGCTGTCTGGTACTTTGGCCTTGGTGTTATAACACCATGCTCTAACCAGCTGAGCTAAATGGCCAGCTCTGAGGAAGGTCTTATTAATGCTGCCCAGAAAGCTGAGGTGACATGCCCAAGCCCACACAACTAGTAAGCGGGCAGCCGCCCCTCCGAGGGCCACTCCACCCTACTTGCCCCAGCCTGGGCCCAGCAGCCCGGGGTTGGCCATGTCTCCTCTGCAGCTGAGGCCAAGCACCCTGGGGCTCCTAGCAGGGACCTCAACTTGGACCTCAGCTCTCCACCAACCAAGCTCTGAGCAGGTCCGTCCATAGGGTGACCCAAGCAGGGAACAACCCCATGACCCCTAAGTCTGAGGGCCTTTCCCCCAGGGCTCTGCAGTCACACCTGGGTCCACATCTCTCTGCCTCCCAGTATGTCTGTGACCTCCAACCCTTACCCCAGCTGTAAGATGGAAGCATGAGCTGCACCTGTGAGGAGGCTTCACTTAGCAGCACGTGTCACGCTGCACTCCTGGCACCGGCACCGGTGCTCTGCTGTAGGAAATCAGAGGATGCCCCTCAGGGCCAAGGAGGCGGGGAGAGAGTGGCCCGCGCTGCAGAAACAGCCGGGTGCCTGGAAGTAAGCTGGTCCGCAGTGTAAATCCTCACCCCCCCACTCCCACGCCCACCCACCTCAGCGGGGCACGCGCTGAAGACGAGCCCTGAAGCCCGCGTCTGGGTGGAGGACCTGACACAGACACTGGCTGATCTACCGAAGCAGGTGCAGCATTGGCAAGGACACAGCCCAAGTCCCCTGAAGTCCCAGAAATCTTGGAGAGGCCCATGAACAGGCCAGTCTGAGGCATGGGGAATGAAAGGAACCCTCCCTAGATTCCTTAAGTTCGTATTTATCAAAATTAGCCACACCACTGCTGTTTAAGGACTGAAATAGTTCATTGTGGACGGTGAGAAGAAAAATAGCGCCTGGCAACCCTGCTCCCCAGAGGCAACCTCCTCTGCCTTCTTTTAGCTGATTATTTTGGTTATTTTTATTATTTCCCTTCTGTATTATAACAAGTAGGAGGGGCCATCAGAAAGTTCATGGAGGGTGCTGGCCAGTTGCTCAGTCAGTTGCAGCGTAGTTCTGATAACACCAAGGTCCAGGCTTCAATCTCTGTCCTGTCAACTGCCCCCCCCCCAAAAAAAGGTCACGGGATGGTTCGTGGCATCCTCATATATTTGGTCTTTGTCTCCAGTTCCTGCCACAGAGCACATGAAACCCTTGGAACTTCCCAATTAATAGGAGTGTCGTTTGTCATTCATAATGAGCTCTTTTAGATGCCACTCTTTACGCTAAAGAGGTGATTTAGGGCGGACAGCCTCAGGGTGGGACCAGTCACAGACGCCCACCTGTATCCTTGGGAGTATCCTTTATAACAAACTGTGAAACGTAAACGTTTCCCTGAGTTCTGTGGGCCATCCTAGCAAATTAATGGGACCCAAGGAGGGGATAAAAGGAGCCCCAATGCAGTGAGTGGTCAGAAGGTGACAACCCACTTGCTTCTGGCATCTGAAGTGGGGCAGGCCTGTGGGGCTGTGCCCTCACCCTGTGGTGCCTGATGCCCTCTCCAGGTCGACAGACTTCCCCAGTTAGTGTCTGCTGGGGAACTGCCTGGGGAGTGGGACCCCCCCACGCTGGTCACAGAAATGTGGCATGCGAGGACAGGAGGAGGAAACAGCCTGCGGGTTCGTGCGTTTTGCCACCTTTGCGTCTCTAAGTAACGTGCTGGCATCACCACTTGTAACCTGTCAGTGGCAGCGCAGCCTGTTGCTTTTCTGCCAGGGGACACGGGTCGCTTTCTCTCCCTCGATGTCTTCACCAGCCTCAATGACTAAGTGTAGGTGAAGCCGGTAACTTCTTATCTCCTGCACAGCTTCTTGTTCTCCCTGGAGGTTTCTTGGTTGGTTTGTTTTCATTTGCTTAGTTTTCAATAAATTTATCACTAATTTAGCCCCAAACTTTTCATTAATTCTATAATAGTTTCTCTTAAAATCTTTGGATTCACCAGGTGTTCGATCATTTTCATCTTCCTGAACAATCTATCCAGAGCCTCTGACGACCCCAGATGGAATCTCCTATTCAACTCTGGTCACTTGGGCCCCTGGTGACTCTGCACAGCAACACAGGACATCGCATGGTGAAAGGCCTAAGCAAGGGCACTCACTTGCTGTCCTTGTGAACACATCAGAACCACAGCCCTGACCCCAGGAGTCCACTCACCAGGCACCGTCCGCACAATCTAATCGCCTCTTTAAGGCCCCACCTTTCAATTACCATGACAGGATTTCCCATCCTCTACACTGTTGCAATGGAGATCTAGCTTCCAGTACATGAACTTTGGGGGCCACATTTGACCCATAGCAGTAATCCTTGAATGTTCTGCTTATACGTAATATTTAGAAAGCTAATAAGCTCTGAGCACATGAGTGGGGCTTGTCAACTTGACTTTCCCTGTGAGTGATATGGCTGAGCCATTTGCTTGTAAAGCCTTGAAAGTCAGTGTCTGTGGGTAAAGGAAAGCCTCCTGGGCTGGTCACACTTCCTGGAAAAGAGGGAAAAGGCCACTGGCTGCCAGATTCTAGGAGTGGAGTTGGGAGGAAGGCAGGGCTGTCAACATCCAACCTGTCTGCTCAATGTCCCTGTTTTCCATCTGCCACCCACCTCAGCAGGGCTGGGAACCTCCATTTTCATCCCTCCAAGAATAATTCTCCAAGTTTCTGCTGGGTTGGGGGGTAGAAATAGAGATTGGCTTGTTTCTCAGCATTTCCAGAAGGACCTGGTGCCGCTGATCCCTGACTCCACTGCCAGCTTAGAAGTCGCTTTCTGGACAGTTACTGCCGTCAGTCAGTCTGTTCTTCCAGCTTCCAAGACTGCTGCTCCTCTCCACACTCCCCTGCTCACGGATCCATGTGTTTTCAGAGCTTCCTGTTTCTACCTTATGCTGGGGTGTAGAAGAGAGCAAAGGCAGACACGAGCGTCCCCTCTTCCGTCTCTGCCTGGAAGCCCTCACTATCATGGAGCCCCAGGCCAGCCTCAGAGGTCACATACCGGGGAGGAAATTCAGAGGTGAAGGGCGAGGGGCAGGGCTGGGATTGGTTCCCAGGTTGCTGTCACCTACGTCCAGCTCCTGGTTGGGGAGCGTCCTGTCCTCCCTGCCTGGAACTCTGGGCAGGCAGAAAAGAGTCATGGGGTTGATTCCCAGAATCCCAGGGTGGCGGAGCCTCAGGCAGGGGCAGGGCCAGGACGCTGGACAAACAGATCAAAGGTGAGAACAGCATGGGGCTCCAGACCAGGCCCGGCCAGCTGGACGGATCACCATGAGGTGGGTGGGAGCCCCCCAGAGCCTCCCGCAGGGAGAGGAGCAGGAGAACAGGTCTCAGCCCTCAGCATCCGCTCCGCCCCGCCCGCAGGCTGCTGATCCTCCTGGGCCTGCTGGGTGGCTCAGCGGCCGCGCCCACGGACCTCCGCTCCGCCCGCAGGCTGCTGATCCTCCTGGGCCTGCTGGGTGGCTCAGCGGCCGCGCCCACGGACCTGCAGTGGCCTGAGCCCGTGTTCGGGCGCCTGGCATCCCCTGGCTTCCCAGGGACGTATGACAACAACCAGGAGCAGCACTGGACCCTGACAGCACCCCCCGGCTACCGCCTACGCCTCTACTTCACCCACTTTGACCTGGAGCTCTCCCACCTCTGCGAGTACGACTTCGTCAAGGTGCTGGCAGGGCAGGGATGGGGGTGCTTCCCGTGGCCTGGTGGGTGGTCCCCAAGGATTGGCCAGGGCTGAAGGACACCTGGGAGCAGGGTCTGGTCTCAGCCAGGAGGGAGGGCTGGCCTAGGTCTTGCCTT